TCCTACAGCGCCACATCAGGACTTAGTTAAGCATATAGTTCAGTGACATTATTTACATTCACCATGTTGTGTAACCTTTACCATTATGCATTCCCAAAACTTTTTCATCACACCCCAAAGAGAAATTCAGTGCACATTAAGCAACAACTCCCCATTTCTCTTTTCTGAGGGAACCCCCAATCTGTTTCCTGTCTCCATGTGTATGCCTGTTCTAGATACCATATACAAGTGTTCACCATTTATGTCTTACTCATTATACTTAGTGTAATGTTTTTCAAGAACCAGACATGGTGGCAGTGTAGGATAAACAGTGGACTGCTAACCACAAGGTTGGCAGTTGTAAACCACCAGCCACTCCTCAGAACCGAACACAGAACAAAAGCAACAACAATATCCATGAGGAAAGATCACTTAAATGAGGAACTACTGGGCCACATTTTAAAGGAGCTCTGGTAGTGTAGTGGTTATGAATCAGGCTGCGGATCTCAAGGTCAGCAGTTCCAAACTACCAGCAGTTCCATGGGAGAAAGATGAGGCATTCTGCTCCCATAAAGATTTACACCCTCGAGAACAGAGATCCAGGTGGTGGGAAGGTCAGGTAGATTACTGGATAAAACAGTCTTTAATGAAGAGTAGAACTAATGGAATATAAGGTAACCACAACAGTGGGATTGGGGTGGGGGGTTTAGTTTGGGTGTTGGGGAGGGCAAAACAAGAAGCGGGGAGGAGGTGGAAGAACAAGATAGATAGGGGAACACTGAGACAGGTTTGCATGGCCCAGTGGGACAGAGGTAAATAGTGATGCATACTCAACTGAACAACAGAGCTCTGGGATACAATGATCTAGGATACAGGGATCTAGGTATAGCTTCAAGAGGGGAAATAATAATAAAACCCTTGACTGCCTTATGAATATTAATTTCCCTTGCCTACTATTGTAAAATAGACACTTGAGTGGGATAGAAAGGAATGTTGGGAAACATGATCAGAGAAAACTTGTAAGCCCGTCTTCAGCCTATCACTGATTGGAATACCTAAAAGGGGTTCTACAACTTGCTCACTGAAACAGGCCTCGTGCAAAACCTTTACAGAGTATAGGACCTTAGGTGGAATCCTGAGTCCCATCCAGAACCTTATGAGGTGGGACATTCCTACTAGAAAGATTAAGCAGACTGGAACAGCTACAGTGACAGAAGATACATCTTCAAAGAAAGATCATCAGGAAAAACAAAACAAAAATGTCAGCATGACTGGCTACTACAAGAATAAGCAAGCTGTTCTCCAGGAAGACATCAAGGCTAGCAATCAAGTGCCTTCAGGACAAACTCCTCTCTAAGACTGAAACTCAAAGGGAATACACAAACAATCATGTAAGCTTGCTAGCGACCACATTGGTCTACTGGTGAGTGGAAGAGGCGGAAATGCCTCAATGAAGAAATGGGCTGAGTTTAACCCCAGTCCATTGAATCCCGTTGACCTGGAGATGAGAGAGAGAAGAGGAAGGGCTGGTTGGTCCAAAGTGTGGTGAGACCTGAGGACATTTGAGCCCATGGACAAGGACTTAGCCACAGAGGGCTAGAGGGCTAGAGCTCAGAGTGAAGCATCCAGCTGATATGACACACATGAGCAAGAAGAACAAGATAAATTTTTTTATTAAAGAAAGAATAAAGTGTTATGAAGTGAGGGGAGATGCACAAGAACACCCAAACTTGCATACAGTACCCTTTTGACCTAGCCTCGATAGCTCAATAATCAGAACTCAACTAGAGGAAGACTGAAAAAAAAAAAAGGGGGGGGGGGTTGTTGTTGTTGTTTTTATAAAGGAAACAATGGTAAATTGCTTCAATTTGATGAACCTGACCTATACTCACAGCGGTAGTTACTCTAAATACCAACAGAGAGGGAAAGAGTCTTCACATCAAGTATCAGTGTTTTCCGCTCTGTGCACAGGATAGATAGGGACGGGCAACTTAGACACTGGCTACCTAAAATGAGCGGGCAATAAAGGCATGAAGTGACTGGCTTACAAGGTTTCAAGAGGGAGTTTAGTTTAAGAGTATGGGAGGAAAAAAGAGTCCCCAGTGAATAGTGGTCATTCTTGTCTAGATGGGTCTGGTGAAAAGAGATGAGGATAAGATTTTTAAGATTCAGTAGTGAATCACTGTTTTCATGACTAATTGTGACTGTCACAATTGTAAAGATAGAAGTTTTGTAACAAAAAAAGGGGAGTGGTTAATCTTACAGTCCAGAAACAGAGGACCCTAGGACCATCAACAGAGAAACGCACAAGCAGAATGTGGGACCTTCTCCAGAGAAGCAGCAGGGCCAGAGATAGAGGCAGAGATGGAGGCATGGAGAGGGGGAGCGGCTGAGGACTCTAGATTCATCAACTAAGAAGAGAAGGACTGAGAACTGGTGGCCAGGAGGAGACTTGCAGAATGTCCCCTTTGGAGATGTAAATTATTATATATATCTGAGTGGTTTTTTTTTTCTTTGTTTGTTTATTTGTTTTTTAACAAGCTAAAGTGGATAGAGAGAAATACTGTTAACTGATGGTACATGGAAGGGATTATAATCCTTGTAGTGAAACAAGGTGTATGATTTGTTGAATTTAAAACTGATGATCTGCCCTGTAAACTTTCACTCAATCCACAATTAAAAAAATAAATAAATTTTACAGCCTCAGAAATCCTGTACAGGGTCGCTGTGAGTCGGAACCAACTCCGCAGCACATAACCACCAGCACCACACTACCTTCCATGTTGTAGTTTATATCAGGATTGTATTTTGCTTTACTCTGAATAGTATTCCATCCACCACTTTTATTTTATTTTTGTATATTTCCTTCTCTTGCAAATTTTCCTCCCTTGTATTTGGTTGCAGAGATTTAAAGCCTTCTACATGGGAAGCAATTTTGTGGCCCTTGGCAACATTATGTAATCCTTGTTTCCTTTGCCATAAGAAGGGGGGAGGAAAGGCTTGAATACTTGCTGTTCTCAGATAATTCAAAAACTAGTCGCAGCAGTCATTGGGGTTTGCTCTCACCATCATTTGGTTACTTTACCTGGGCATATGTGTGTTACAGATTTCTGGGAAGCAGTGAAGCAAGGCTTTTATAGATGCAGAAGTAGATTCAGAGAGGTTAAACAGCCTGCCCATGGTAGCATAGCAGTCATTGGCTGGATTAAGAACTTGACTCTGCTATCTCTTAGCTCATTCTCTCCCCTATCCACATTGGAGATGGTCATTGAAGCCTGTTTGGGAGGAATGAGAGGCAAAGGACCTAGTTTAGGAAGGAGCACCAGCTCAAATGTCTGTATAACATAAATGAGTGAAGCTGACCAGCAGTGCTGGCTTCTGTGACCTATCGAGTCACTTTTCAAGGGGAGTGGACCCAAGATGGACAAATCTTTTGAATGGCTAAGAAAAATCAGAAAGCAGAATTTTAATGTATAATTCTCCCTACTTTTACATAAACTCAAAAGTCAAATCCACTGCAGTCTAGTCCATTGAAACTTACAGCGTCCCTCTAGAACAGAGTAGAATTGTCCACCCTGTACAGGGTCGCTGAGTCAGGACCGATTCAGCGACACTTAACAACAATAACAAAATTTCTTCTCTGCCTTGTTTTTCTCCCATGGAGCTGCTTATGGATTCAAACCACCACTTCTAAGTTCGCAGCCTAATGCTTTAACACTGCGCCACCATTTTTATATACCAGTCATCAATTCAAAATTAATAAAATAATTGGAGTGAGGCGAAACCTGTCTAGAGGGTGAGCTTACCACTTGTCTGTAATCATACAACTTCTGACTTGCTGATCCCTTCCACTGACTGGAAGTTGACTAAAGGGTGGATAGTCCCCAGGCGTTCGCTCTTTGGCATTGCTTTGACCTTCTGTCTGCTCAGCTGTCTGGTGCCTTGTTAGAGATGTCATCCTCTTCTTTTTTCTCTCTCTCCAGATTACTACCGATCACATTTATTGTACATATGACTGGGGGAAATTTTTTTTTTTTTTATTATGAAAAACCACTATCCTGTTTACCCAAAAGAACTGCTGTTAATATTCTGTTAAATTTTCTCCCAATGTTTTTGAGAATGTACATATTTATTTTAATCTATGTAATGAAAGTAGTTGTACAAGATCACACTCTGCATTTTTACTCACAATTATAAGTACTTCTCCATTTTACTACTTCTTCTTTAAAGAGATATTTTAATAGCTAATGTTGTACAAATATTCCATTACTTGTGAAGTTGATTGATTTTCTGTGTGGTTTTAAGCAAGTTACTTACCCTGTGTATTTCTCGCTTGTCTCTTTTGTATATTGAGAAACATAGTAGGATCTATTATATAGAGTTAGTGTAAGAATTAAAGGAGTGATTAATATAAAGTACTTAGAACAATGTTTGGCATATAGTAAATACTAAACAAGTTCTCATTTTGTTGTTATTATTATACTGTATGGTTTTTATGGAAATTCATTTTTGCCTATATTAAATTTTTTTGGTAATGAATTAGTACAGGAACCACTGGTAAAAACCCCTTATTAACATTTTAAGGCCCTTAATATGCATGGGCATATTTCCCTTCTGGAAGGCTGTTCAGTTTACATTTTCAGCAAGGCATAGGGTACATATACTGCTACATTCTTCAAAACATTTGTGATTTCACTTTCCTTTACTGTCCACCAAAACAAATGACCCTGAGCACCTATAATGTCCTTGAACATCTCTGCCTACGTTAGAACTCAAATGTGTTTCTTCTCTAGTTTTAGACAGAGATTGACTTTGGGTTTAGAAATTTACTCATACTTATTTTGGTTGTTTGAATGTTTAATCTAAAGGGAAAATTGTTTCATAAGTGAATTTGATCCATTTACATTTATTGCTATCTTCTATTCATCATGCTTTTTGTTTTCTGCTAATAGATTCCACAGGTCACCAACCCATCAAGTGTTTGTGAAGTACTGACCTAGAGTCTCTGGGGTCTGTTTCAGAAACCACTCAGATTGAGGACCCTCGAGTACAATGGCGGCGGGAGCAGGAACACATGCTGAAGGATTACCTGGTGGTGGCCCAGGAAGCCCTGAGTGCACAGAAGGAGATCTACCAGGTGAAGCAGCAACGCCTGGAGCTGGCACAGCAGGAGTATCAGCAGCTGCATGCCGTCTGGGAGCACAAGCTGGGCTCCCAGGTTAGCTGTGAGTACCTTCCCTTGCCAGTACTCCTACCACCGTATTGCAGGAAGGAGGGAATTGTTGCCCTGGGTCCTCAGTGTTGTTTCTCAGTACTTCTCAAAATGCCCTGTTTTCTTCCCATCTCCAGTCCTGATTCAAACTACCTTCCTCTCCACTGCTGTTCTTACTTCTACCCACACCCTGCATTCATTCATTTATTTCATTTTATTTGAGATCATCCCAGAATGCCAAACATACCCCTTTGTGTACAGCTGTTTAGTGGCTTCCCATTGCTCATTTCCATGGTCCCTACAGCCCTGTGTGATCATATCCCTGCCTGTGCTCCTGCCTCATTGAATGTGGGCCTGACTCTCTAGGCTCCTGACACACTAAGTGCCCATTCTGCTCTTCTACATAGCCTGCTCTTTTCTACCTCAGGGCCTTTGTACTGGCTGTTCTCCCTTCTTAGACTATCTCTCTGTTGATCACTTTACATTTCTCCCTTACTCATGTCATCTCCTCTGAGGTGTTTTCTCTGGCAACTCTGTCAAAAGTCCCATATCCCCCATGTTGCCCTCTGTCATGTTTCTCCATAGCATGCTTCACAATAAACCCCAAAACCAAACCCACTGCTGTCAAGTTGGTTCTGAGTCATTGCATCTCTATGTTGTTGTGAAGTGCCGTCGAGTCGATTACAACCCATAGTGACCCTGTATAGGGTTTCCAAGGGACAGCTGGTGAGCTTGAACCACCAACCTTGTAGTTCAAATGACTTTGCCGTCTGACACATTAGCCCACAACACCACACCAGGACTCTATAGGACCTAGTAAAATGCCTTCTTAGGGTTTCTGAGACTGTAAATCTTTATGCGGGCAGATTGCCTCATTTTTCTTCCAAGGAGCAGTTGGTGGGTTTGAACTGCCAATATTGTGGTTAGCAGCCCAATGCTTAACCCTTATATCACCAGGGCTCCTTACATATCAAAAGACATCTGTTTATTTGTTTAACAGCCTTTCTTCCACTAGAATATAAAATATGTAAGGGCATGTTTTCCCTAGTCAACATAGGATGAGAGCAGATTTGCCAAAGCCCCTGGTCCTTCATTCCCAGTGTAATGTGCTGATGGTCAGCAAGTGTCATTGTGCACACTGACCTCATGAAACGTGTTGAGGTTTTTCTGTCTTTTAATATCATTTCTAAGAACCAATCCTCTCCTGTGTTTATTAAATGCATACTGCATACCGGGCATACTGCTAGGCTCTGAATATGGTATTTCAGTTCATCTTTCTAGCAATTCTATATGCAAGTACAATTAATATCCTCTTTCTATAGATAAGGAAGCTGAGACTTAGGATCAGTCACATGCCTAGAGTCTTACAGCTGGTGAATGGTAGCAATAAGATACAAACCCAGTTTTGTCTCTCCCCTCATCCAACTATGGTGTCAGAGTGCCTGAGACTTGGCTGATTACTTGTCACTCATCTTGTGCAAAGACATCACTTTGAGGTCAGTCTGCGACAGGACAGGGGTAAACCCTGCTGAGTCACTCACTGTCCCCACCTTGCCCTTTTCCTTGGCAACCCAGGAAAGCCCCCAGATTCCCAGGGACTGTAGAAAAGAACTGGGTTGCTCTGTTCTAGAGACAACCGTGAGAGTTTTAGGACTAGCCTTACCACAGCCATCAAGGAGAGTTAATATTGTCTCTATTGAAACTTGGAGCCCTGGTGTGGCGCTATAGGCTAAGCACTGGAATCGTAACCTCAAGATTAACAGTTCAAAACTCCCCAGCTGCTCTCGGAAACCCTATACAGGGTTGCAATGAGTCGGAGCCAAAGTATCAGAACAACATTGATACTTAGGTTCGAAAAGGCAGTGTGTTTTAAGTTGTTTTTGTTTTTCCCCTTTTGTAAAGTCACACAAGGGAGCCCTGGTGAGTGGCACTGTGGTTAAGTGTTTATCTTCATACCTTAAGATTGTGAGTTTGAACCCACCAACTACTTCCCAGAAGAAAGATGTAGTAGTCAGCTTGCGTAAAGATGACAGCTTTGGAAACGCTATTGGGCAGTTCTGCTCTGTCTTGTAGGATCTTTATGAATCTGAATCAACTTGATAAAAGCCAGTTTGATTTTTTGGTTTTGAAGTCCTACTATCCAAAAGTGTCTCAAACAAATGTATGTAAAATAAACCTTACTGTTTTGAGAAACATTATAGTTACAGGGACTTAAAATATCACCCCCCCAAAAAATGCTTTCTAATTTCATAGGGTAAAATATACTTTGCATTTGTGAGGTCTAAAGCTACCTCCTTACATAGGGTGGTCAAATTACTACTGCCAGTAAGGAGATTCACTGATATGAACCTGCTGTGATGTACTACAGGGTAAGATGCCTGACACATGCTTAATCTGAATCCAGTCATAAACAGACCATCCTACACATCACATCAATAATGTAGGCTATTCTGAAAGAGATTTGGATTTGTCAAGAAAAACAAAACAACAACAACAAAAAAAAACAGGGAGCTATTCTAGATGAAAAAAGGTCTAAGGAGATGTAACAACATTGCTTTGTACATTGACTAGGTTCTAGATTTGGCATGGGGGGTGGGCAGTGGAAAGAGGACAGGAAGAAGCCATAAAAGACATTCTCAGACACTTGGAGAATTTTCTGAGGTGTGTCAATGACGTAGTTATGTTAGAAAAATGTTCTCGTCCTTAGGTACTTAAGTGTGTAGGGGTGAATTGGCATTAGGTCTGCAGGTTAGTTCCATAAAAGGTCTACAGGGGGAAGCAAGAAAAGGGAAATAAAATCTGGTGGCAGATCCAATGAGCAGACCAGTAGATTGTGATGAACACATCAATAATTTGGGCTAATGGTATCTTTTACCACTATTTTTTTTTAATAATGTTTTATTGTGAATTATGTAGTAGTTTACATGGGAGAACATTAGCACCACCATTTTTAAGAGTTTTTTATTGAAGGCTTACTGTGAACCAGTCACCCTCATAGAAGAGATGATGAGGACCCTCAGAGAACAATAAAGAACCACTGGAAATTAAGTATGATTGTGTAAAAGAAAACGGTATGGAAAAATGACAAGTCTCCACAAAGCTGCAGTGAGAAAGAAAATGAAAACATCGAGCCAGAAATCTACTCTTGGACTAATAAAAATTCCAGAAAGACCGAGCTGAGGAAACAGAGGAAAGAGAAGCATTAATGAAGGAATTCAGAGAAATTTCCCTGAACTGAAAGAGCTGAGTGTTCAGACTGGACAAGCTCAGAGAGAAGCTAATATAATAGATGACAATTGACTTGCACCAAGGCCTATCATTGTGAAATTTCAAACACTGGGGACAGTGCAAGATCCTGAAAGCTTTCAGAGAGAAAAACCAAGTCACACACACAAAAAATCAGGACTCACAATAGTTCTGGACTTCTCAACAGGAACACTAGAAACCTAAAGACAATTATTTTAAGGAAAAGCATTTTCCAACTAGATCCCTGTGTCCAGTGAAGCTACCTTAAATCAAATGCAGAGTAGACTAGGAGTCCTTAGGTGTTGCAGATAGTTAACAAACTAACAGAAACATTGGTGGTTCGAGTCTACCTAGGGGTGTCTTGGAAGAAAGGTACAATGATCTACTTCCAAAAAATCATTCATTGGAAACTCTATGGAGCTCAGTTCCTTTTGACAATTGTGAAGTCACTGTGAGTTGGGGCTGACACAATGGCAACTGGTAAGGGTATATAAAGACATCTTTATACATGGAAGTTTTCCAGAAACTACTGGAGGTTGTGTTCTAACAAAATGAGAGGTAGACCAGAAAGAAGAAGACACCGTATTCAGAAAGGACAAGAGCAAGAAGGATGTCTGGAATAAGGTGAATGGTGTTCACTGAAGGAAGTTGTGTGGGGGGGCAACCAGCTCACACTGAAGCAATTTAGAAACAAAATAGATTCACATAAAGGAAAACTGGTAGAACACCTATTGATCTGGACCCCACAACCAGAGACTTAGATAACTGGAATGGCGTGTGGTTGAATTTATGATCAATTTGTAGAAACTAATCAAACACAACAAGGAGCTCTGGTAGTATAGTGGTTACGAATCGGGCTGCGAACTACAAGGTCAGCAGTTCGAAACTACCAGCTGTTCCGTGGGAAAAAGATGAGGCTTTCTGCTCCCGTAAAGATTTACAGCCTTGGAAACCCTGTACAGGGTTGCTATGAGTCGGAATCGACTCCACAGCACATAACCAACCAATCAAACACAACAATGACAATTATTAACTCTAGAAAAAGTTTGCTGGAAAGGAAAGATCATCAAAGTTGACTACATGGATTTGCTTTGAATCGTGTTTACAGAGTTAAATTAACACGAAGACGGAATATGCTTCCACCAAAAGTATGCACTGTCTCTTAGAAGGGTGGGGGAAACAAGAGGGTACCGTGTGTGGTATAGGCAATGGGCAAGGAAGGGAAGCTGAATCCTCAAATTCTAGAGAGGGACATGAATAAATAATGCCTACAACTGAAAAAATCAAGAAGCAGCAACACATATTATTAGAGAGATAAATACTTAAGAAACTGGCTGAACAAGTTAAAAGTGATTCTCCTTTCAGAGAAGGAGATGAGATTAAAGCTTGGGAAATGTTTTTTATGCCAAACTTTATACTATGTTGGACTGTAAAATTGTATTTGCATATAATATTAACAAAAACCAAAATTAAAAACTACCAAAACAAAAAACAAAAAAAGTGGGTTCAGTCGGTCTTTGACATCCTATTCAGGCATTAGACTCTTAGTGTGTTGTGTTTGATGAGGAGAGTGGTGGGATGATCAACTCAGGATTCAACTATATTATAGATTGAATTGTCTCCACCACCACCACCGCCCAAAACAAACAAACAGTGTTGAAGTCCTAATCCCTATCCTATGAATCGGACCTTGTTGGGTATAGGGTTTTTCTTTGGTCACTTAAATAAGTCTGTACTAAATAGGGTGAGTTCTGACCCTAATTCTTC